TACCTATATTGTGGTACTAAAAAAATCAGTTCATACAACACAGTGTCCATACATATTGAATGAATCAAATTGAACATTTATAGTACAATAATTGGAAAATGATTGTCCAACTCGCTCCCATTTGTGGTCCATACAAAATTTGAGAAGGAAAGATGTGATTGGCTTGTTAATTTCTTTTTCATGCTTGGTTTGAGGATATGGCACTATTCATTCCTTCATCCCAAAGAGTTCAAACAGCTTACCATTGATCTTTAAGAATAGGAGGAATACTTAAAAATTCTTCATATTGCTATTGAAATAGCAACAGTCACTATGTGAGATGGGTGGCAGTACAAATATGAATAAATAAACTTGAACCTGTTGTTTATAACTGTGCTGTTGCAAACTATTAATAATTGATATATAACATGCACATATTTTCAAAACTACTATATGCAATTGTAACTGCTGAATACCTGATGTTTAAGGAACCTCTTTCATAAGCACTATTGACTGTTACTAATAAATTATGTAGGTTCAAAATCTTCAAAAATATTCTCATAACTCTAATAACATGGAGTCAGATGTATATCTTTTCATTACACAAAACATGAGTTGCAATATTTATGCTACTGTCATGAGAGCAAACCACTACTGAAATACCATTTGCCTTTTAACCGTTCTAAGGAAGGGGAACATTATACTATCTCCCTTTGAATCTGTCTGACTATGGATTGATGTCAGTGGGTTTATAGCTTTCTAGACTCATGATCTTTAATTATCTTTTTTCTTCCTGAGACTCACATATATCTTTTTGGATTGGGGCATATTTTAATTTTACAAGCCTGCTCACGAAAAGCAAGACTTGAAGGGTAGAAATTAATTTATAATTTTTAAAAGGGAAGGCCCATTCAAACTCACATCTGACTATATCTGCACTAACTGGACCATCAAATTCAAATTACCCCCTTTAGAGAACTGAACATTTTGGGACTTAACATACTTTTTCTAGTAAAAGTATGTGGTTCTATGAGTAAAAACATGACATTTTCTGAGGAAAAGGGCTAGAAAAATAGTGTTTCTCAACAGATAAAATTCAAAGCCAAACAAAACTACAAGGCAATTAAATGGATTCACAACTCTCTTGAAAACTGCCTTCATAGAGGGTTCATCAATAGTTCCACATCAAATCAATGGCAGGTATTTACTGGCTTGAATAATCCATTAGAAAAATAATTTTAAAAACCATAATGCTGTCTCCTCCCCTCTCCCATCGTTGCCCTTTTGGCCACCCTACATTCCACTGATTCAGCTTGCCCTCATTCCCTCAGCAGACCTTCACCATCTTCTTCTCCTGCTAGTGACAAGATGTGCTGGCCTGCCCTTCTTCCTGAATCTCTATATAGCCTTGTCCAAATCATCAAAAAGTCAACCTGAAAGTCACCCTAGACCTATTTCTTTGATGTTTCTTTTATACATCTATGAATACATTGGCTTGCAGGAAGCTTGCTATCATTCAATTTTCAGAAATACGTCAGTCAGAAATATGTTATTGTAATGTTTAATAAGAAAAAGAATATAAAATGTCTACATTATTAAGAGAATCCCTTCATCTGACATTGTGCCACTATGCAACAAAGTGCTATCATCCTGATAAAGCTGGCTCAGAAACCTGCAAATTTTGCCAAGCGTACAGAAACCGAAGACAGAGACAATTAAGAGTGTCATCTTCACATTTTACTGGGAACACTTTTTTTTCAGAAAAGAAAGCTTTATCGATAAAAAGAGCAAGAAATAGTCAGGAATATTATTGAATAACTTCCCCTAAAAGAAAGAAGGCAGCAGAAGAAAAAATGCCTGCTGATGTTTCAATAGATCGAATATATTTGATGGAAAAAGAGAGAATACCTTTATATAGTTTATTGATATTATACATCTTCAAGATCTGGTGTGATGTAACAATTTGAAGATTATATAAAGTATTAAATAAAAAGAACAATGCGTATAGTAACCAAAGAATAAAATATAGAATACAGTCTTCAATTTAGCACCTTAGAAGATTTTCCATTAAAAAAAAAAAACTACACAAATGCTTAGGTTGCATATTATTCTAAATAACAAGGTCATTATATAAATAGCAACCATAACGGATGCAATTTATCACATGCTGATAACAAATTCAGCAAAAAATGACTGCTTGGATACGCTTGAATTAAGAGGTGAATCAGAAATATGTATAAGGGGAAGAAAAAATATAGGAAGATGAAACAAATGAAGATTACAATCTCATCTTCATATAAACTATGACAAAGTATTGAGTCCTTATAATATGAAGGAAGGAACAAGTGAAGGAACACTCTACAAAAAAAATAAAAAATAAAAAGATCAGAATTCATTGCCAGTTGATTTTTTTTTTAATAGAAAAGCACATCACAGAAAACGGCGTTTTTAACTTCAGTCTTCCCTTCCACATGTTATTCCACTCCGTTATTAATAGTCCAAGCAAGGATTATTTATTGACCATCTTTATCACTGCAAAATATAAACGGACAAAAAAGCTTAAGAATGTTTTCCCCCTTTTTTACCCATTCCTTCGTTTTCATCACACACCAAGTATCTGAATGTCATTTTATTCTATTTGAAATGCATTGCACCATGAAATGCGGATCATTTTTGCTGCTGACCGACAACTGTTGCTTTAGCCCAGTGTTTTTCAACCTTGGTAACTTGTAGAAGTCTGGACTTCAGCTCCCAGAATATCCCAGAATATCTAGGGTGAGTTCCAGGAGTTGGAAGTCCACATATGTTATATGTTGCCAAGATTCAAAAATACTGAACCAGAAGCGCTCTTGGAGTCACAGAAGCGAGGACACCGGCGCAGATTCCTTCTTCGCGACCTTGGACCCTGCTTCGCCGCAGCAAAGAGGGCGCTTCTCCGGCAACGGATTCCTTCCGCCTCCTTTCTCTTCCGAGCCCTCCCCCTCCCCACGCTGGGAAAATCCCCCACGCAGTGGAAGGTAGGTACCACAAGTCTCAGCTTTTCATGCACAGACAGCAATCACTGCAGCGATTCAAGACATTTCTAGCGCTACGGAAGAGACGTTGAAGAAAGGGCGGGCTCCGTCGGAATCATAGAGATAAAAATATAGCCATGCCTTCCAGCTTTTTCTCCAAGGAAAATGAACCTTTGGAACAACCGTGACCTGGATGACTGAGAATGTTTACAGACTTTTAGCTATGCAATTTGGGATGAACGCTCTTCAAATGGTGTGAGAGTATGAATGGATTTCCAGAAAAATTGTAAAGGAACCATTAGCACTACTCAAGTGAGGACACATATAAACCTCCAAGTACTTCACCCTCTAAAAGGATGCAAATGACCAAGGAATATAAATCCTTCCATTGCCCACCATCCAGTCAGAACTGAAGAAGCTTCTTGGATAAGAAGTGAAACATCTTCAAAGAAAAAAGAAAATCCAGTTGCCTCCTGAAAAAACACCTTTGGGACAATGGCCAGAAATGTGAATTCTTTCCTAGAGTAAAAGGTGCCAAAGATGAGGCTCAAGTCTTCACTATCTCTCAGGTAGACTACTGCAATTCCCGTTATATGGGGCTGTTCTTGAAGGTTACTCGGAAGTTGCTGCAGGCTTAATGCTGCTGCCCATCTCCTTTTCTTTGGGAAGGTATTTGGAGAAGGGAGGATTTCCTTAAAGTTGCACTAGTTTTTATTTAACAATATTTTGTTTAAAATGGTAAATTGTTTTGTCCTGATTTTGACTTGGCTTAATAAGTTTCATACACTGTAAGCCATTTAAATTTGCTGGAATAGGTAGACAGAAGTAACTAAATGAGTATGTTTTTGTCAATCCCTTAATACCCACACAGGGAAGAAGAAAAGCAAAGTCAATGTAATTCACCAATCACCCATAATTAGAGATAGTCAATGCCATTAAAGAAAAATCCTGCATAGAAACAAGTTTCCTTAGAACTAGTGTATCTTATTACATCAATATAGCTCTTCCAGTAGGACTCCAATGAATTGGCTGCAAAATTCTATAGAACCGTTTATTTAGATATATAAAAATATATGTTCTGTATCATTTTGGTGCATCTAGAGGTCATTTTGATTTTTGCAACTCAGGTATGATAGCCCTCATTCCAGACTTGATGCACAAGGTTGTTTGTTATTGTTTTGAAATTAAAACAGGCTAAGCCACTCTTAATTAAGCAAAGGAATGATGCTATATGAAATATTCCAAAGTGTACATGCAACATTGCATAGTGTTTGTGGGACTGAGAAATAAATACAATAAAATGAGTACATCACAGAACAATTTTAAATATTAAGGTGTTGTATCTTATGATTCTTGATGAATATATTTTTCACGTACACTGAGCACATATGCACCAAAGACAAATTCCTTGTGTGTCCAATCACATTTGACGAATAAAGTAAGATATCTTCAGAAGATTTTTAATCTAAAAGGCCTAAGAATATTTGTTAATGATAATAATCTAGGTTAAGAGTAAATTAGGACTACCAGATTTAGACAGAAAAAGACCAATAAATTACTAGATGTCAGCAAAGAAAACTAGTGACTGTTGGGACTTTTACAATCCCGGCTTGAAAATCCTAGAAAAGACATGAGCTCATTTATAAATAACCTTCATCCAGACCTACTACATGTTCCTTAAATTGTTTTGATGAACAGTGCCCTTTCTCAGCCCATGCTCCTTAGCCTGCAACATAGAATGAAACCCAGATTAAAAATGTACAAATTTTTATTCTAATCGAGATGAGGAAGCATATCAATTCTTTGTCCTGGCTTTAAAAAGGTAAGATTCCTTTAGCTGAACCCAATTGGGGACATCATGGCAACGTTTTTCTTGGCAATAATATGGGAATATACTACTTTCCTTGTAGTTTTTTTTTTATCGACTTGGCGGTCTAGCGCTGACATTTTCCGGTCGTCCGGCCTCCAAACTCTGATCCGAGTTTTTGACCTTCGGCAAGGTCGGCTAAAAGCGCAGCCACTTGCGGTTCCCGGACAGCCCAGTTAAGAGTTAGAATTACACCCCTAAGTTCTTCCTCGACCCGCGAATGGACACGCAGGAAGAAAAAGAAAAAAAAGTCTCGAAAGGAACCTGGAAGTCCTTGATGCGGCCGATAGAGGCATCACTCTTCCGAACAATCTTTACGGCCGACATTATGACGCAGAGGAGGGAGGCGGAGAAAGAACAGCGGGTCAAGGGTAAGAAGGGGCGTGGTGGCGGTAACCACGGTAGCCTCGGCTTTTTCTTAATTGGGAAGGAAGTAAAGCACGATGTGGACACGCTATGGCAGCCGCCGGGGAAGCAGGTGAGAGGGCCTGTCTTGTTGGTCGAGAGTGGGGCGGGTTTTTCTTTTGGCTTTTTTTTCCCTCTTCCCCGAACGCGGACCGTTCCCCGCCCTGAGCTCTTGGTCCCTTGGAGGGAGCCAAATGAAGCGAGGGGCGGGTCCAGGGCGCGAGCGTGTCGGGTGTGTGGATTGGGGTGGAACGTTAGGTAAAAGGTGAATGGCGCGCGCGCGTTCTATCCTCGCTGCCCCCCCTCCCCGCCCAGGGAAAAGGCGCGCGCTCCTGAACGCCGCCGCGAGTTTTTGCTTGTCTCTTGTGCAGCCGAGGAGAAAACCCGAAGGTGCTTCTTGCGTTCAGGCGTTTTCCATCCCTCTCCGGGTACACAGAATACACTTATGCACTTCATACATTTCGGGCCTCCCTGACTCCGGGGAGATAGTAGTTGTGCTTGCGACCTCTGTTGTTGTACTAAGCCGTCCGGAGGCGTGAAAGGAGTTGCCGGTGTCCTGGAGGTTGACTCGCTTGCTTTTTCGAAACAGAAAAAGCAGCAGGAGAACGGCTGCCAGTTTTATTGCGGTCAGGCAATGTCACGGGGTAGCATCGATTATTTGAGATTCCGGGTCGCAACCGCTTCCGAGCACGCTGTATTGCCCTCACATAGGAACCTGAAATGTATATGAAGCAGATTATAGTTTAACGTGGGGAGTTGAAGGAAGCAGCTTTAAAAAAATATATATTACATCTTATGAAGGCTTGCTGCACGTATCATGCTAAAATATAAAACCAAAAAGGCTTGATTTTCAGATGCAATCCTTCATCATTCTCCTTCCTTTGCAGTGTTAGCCTCAGCACATTTAAAAGCACCACACTTCACCTTCTTGCTTTCCTGCATAGCTCAGACTAAAAGTGCACTTTTGCCATCTGCAGGATATACCCAAGCATTTCATTCTTGGTTTCTTTCTTTTTTGCAGTTTCTGGGTTTTTAAAAATTCCTTTCTGTAAAGCCTAAAGAATAAACAGAAAAGATTGATACATAAATTACACTTTTGCGGCACATTATTTAGCAGCTAAATAAGAAAAGGCAGGCTTAAGAAGAAATAAGCCAATACTAAATTTGAAATTCCATAGGCATTGAATTTATTTGTCTTAGCACAATATAATAGCAATGATATGATAATGAGTTTTAGGTAACATAGTGATGTATAAATGAACTATATAACTGCAGTTGAACTAGAGGTGAAGATGCATCATTGATAGTTTGGGAGTGTTAAAGAAAACCTTTATAACATTTCTTTGTAAACTCTCAGAAACTACAGTATATTAGAATTTCCAACGTAGTTCTTTTGAATTTTGACTCTGCTAATAGAAAAAGTGTAAATTGCTTTGGTTATGTTTTGTTCAGTATTTTTCTTAGTTGTGATGTGGCATTGTTCACTAGTTGGCTCAAGATTTGGTTATTACAAATTATTATTATAATTTGGTTATTACTTCTTTACTTTGGAATTTCATATAGATAAGTTACAGTACTGTTACCTCTCTTTTTCTACTGTGGTTTTTTTTTCTCTAATGTTAAATTAAAAACAACCATAACTATTCCAAAGAGAATTTATATCTTGGTATGTAATAATAATAGCTCCTGATATTCTAAAGTATAATGAAACAGTTCTTTAAGGATGGCTCTATAATGGAATATATTGCATGCTTTAAAAAAAACTGCAGGAAAATACAAAAAAATCCCAACCATGAAAAATATACCAAAAAAACAAAACAAAATCCCACCGTTCATTCCATCTCTTAAGTGGCAGGTAAGCATAACCTTTTAAATAAATAATTTGTTTTAAATAATTGGAGGTTAATCAAAATGAACAACTAAACTACATATATTCAGGATATGCATAGCATATGCTCCTGTCAGCTCACTTGTATGTCTACTATTTTAAAAATAACTAAATGAATTGAACCAGTGGAATTTCAAGCTTACTGGTCTTTCATAAGGACTACAAGCAATGGAAATATTTCTATTACTTCAGAAGTACAGTATGTAACAATGGACATCAATAAACATCAAGTGCTCATTTTGGGGTATGCTTTTAGTATCTTAAAATAATCTCACAGCTAATAGATGCATTATGTAAAGAGGAATAAAGCTAACTGAAGGAAAGAAGTTAATGATTTAACTGCTCCAGCAATACTTACTGTTTTTTATTTTTATTTTTTTTGTTTTAAATATGGTTTTACATTGTGTAAGCCTCCTCAAGTCGCCATGGGTGAATAGGCAGCAATATAAATTAAATAAATTAAATAAATAAATATGTTGGAATTTATTTATATTTGATAAATATAAATATTTGATAAATATATTTATTTATATTTGATAATTTCCTGTCTTAGGAAATTATCTGATGAAAAGCAGTGCCAAGTATATAACTGAAAGTCGAATATACAGGTAGTCCTCAATGTACGATCACAAATGAGCCCAACATAAGTGAGACATTTGTTAAGTGAGTTTTGTCCCGTTTTATGACTTTTCTCACCACATTTGTTAAGTGAATCATTGCAGTTCTTAAATTAGCAACATGGTTGTTAAGTGAATCTGGTTTCTGGTTTCCTCATTGACTTTGCTTGTCACAAAAGATGACCACATGACCCTGGAACATTGCAGCCATCATAAATACATGCCAGTTGTCAAAGGTCCAAATTTTGATCACATGACCACAGGGATGCTGCAATGGTCATAAGTGTGAAAATTAGTCATGTCATTTTTTTTCAGTGCTGTTGTAATTTTGAAGGTCACTAAATGAATGGTTGTAAGTCAAGGACTACCTGTATATTGCCTGCTAGAATTTTGAACAGGTCGTTTTTGAAACCACATATTACTATAGAGATAATATGAGTCACAAGATAATTACATGATCATTAAAAATAAAAGGACCACAGTCAGCATCATGTACTTTTCCTCTCAGTATAGTATGATCAGTTATAAAACCAAGGATACAAAAATGTTTCCCATTCCTAATATCTGTACAATCCCTTTTTAAGGTAATAAATTTGGATATCTTCATTCAGAATTTGAGTATTATGGAATAACTAAGATAAATTTCTGGTGAAATAAAGCAAGTTATTGAGAATAGCATTGTAGATAATTTTTTGTTATTTTGTGGATGATAATTTGCTAATTTAAAATGTTTGCTTAATTGCAAAAAATGTAAAAATTGTGATTCACTATTACATGACTTGGGAGTCATGTAAGAAGAAGAAAAGAGAAATGTTTCAATTTTCCTACCAGTAAAAACGTTTTAGTTTATAATTAAAAATCATAGAAACACCTTTTTAAAATACTGCATTAAGTTTAGCTTCATTATTAGCAAATATCTTACAGATTGCACTTGAAAATATCATTGGTTACACCTCAACATTATAAAAAATATTTCTGATTTACACAATCGCATTAAAAAAATTTTTAAAGCATATAAGTGGCTATTTTTTTTAAATAAGAAAAGGTCTTTGGTTGTAAATCTAGGTAAGTATCAATCATTAAAACGGACACATATTTTTCCAACTTATCTAGCCACTTCTTAATCTGTTCCACGTTTTCTCAACATTCATGTGCATACATTTCACTTCCTTTTTTTATCTCAATCCTCTCCCTTTGGTTTAAAGTTCAATGTGATCAATGTTATCTGTAATTATTCCATGTGATACAAGAACTATATTGTTAACTTATGTCATGTACTTGGCAACGAAATCCTGATATCCATTGTTCTCTTTCTCTTTTTTAAAGAATCCAAACTTATGCAATGTTCGTATTCCTAGAGACAACTAAGTTGTATTTTATATTGCCTGTATTATCATGTGGTATACTTTGTTCATTAGTGTGAAAGCAGCCAGTTACATCTTTTATATCCATTAAGTCACCAATCATACCTAGATTTCCATGTGAATGGGTTTGTGAAGTCCAGCATATTCTGCATAGTTCACAGTACATACAGTTGCACACAGCTCCAGGAAAATGGAATAGTTGCTTGAGCAAATACTTTACCCACATCACATTCCCTTTCTTTGGCATACTGCTCTGCCAGTCTTTGGTCTTGTACCTGCTACATACCTGGCTGAGCTACAAACTGCATACCATGACATTCTTCCCTAAATGCATCAAGCTAGAGAAGTATTACTCTCTTCCAAATGTTTTATTAAGGTTTATTATAGTACAAAATACATTTAAATTAAGATTTAAAATGGAGGGGGGACACTACATTTGCAGCAACAACATTTTCTGTAATTGCAATAACTGTTTAGTTACAAACCATTTCTATAACTACACAATTATTCAATCTTCAAACTAAAGTCTAAGTTCCTTTTTGGTATTTTGAGAATAAAACCCAGAAATGTTTTCCCAATGGAAACAGGACTGAATAAAATCTCTTTGTTTAAAAAAGTTTACATTGTCATCTCAATTTTTCCCCATCTATTTTTTTCATTGTGAGAAATACGGTGTCTTTCTAGCTATATTTAAAATATTTTCTGCAGTGCTATTATGTATAATAACAAAAATCACAATATTCTTTCAGTGGAATTCTAGGAATTGAAGTCCACACATCTTAAAAGTTGCTACGGTTGAAAAACTGTGAGTTAAGCAGTGAAAGAAAAACAAGGCAGATTATGTTAGCAGCAGATGTAATGATGGCTCCTGAAGAGCGTGACCTCTTAGATGAAATGTGACTTGGAGACAAGGATATCTGCAGGACTTTATAGACAACCGTTAGATTGGCAACAGAAAGATTTGTAGTCCCATTTAGTAATGGGGTTCTGAGGGTGGAGGGTAAGGAAAAAACTAAGAATGTGAGAGAAAGAGGGAGAAATGATAGTTTTGTGTGAAGAGAAAAAAGCATGTTGCTTATTGAATTAAAGAGATAAGTGCATTCTAGCAATTTTGTTCAGAAATCTAAGAGCCATTTTTCCTAGAAACAGCGCGGGTTATTTAATATATCCAAAATTCCATAATGAAAAACTTAATTCAGAATGTCAGAATCATACAGCTTTATATATTATGGCTGGAAAGGATTCTGAGCCTACTATTGCTGTCTTGTGAACCTTAACATTTTGGAGACTATCTTTTTCCTTGCTGATATACAACAGCTGCCTGGAGGTTCCAAGGAAAATACTGATTTCTCCTTCCTGTCTGTTAGGAGTCCTGAATAGTAAATGGATCCTGAATTGGCCGCCAAGGAGCGTGGTATGAGAACCCTCCACCCACCCCATCTGCTGTGCCAGTGGGAAAGAGAGGGCAGGGGAGATTGAATATTTTAACACCTCATTTTTAGGGATCCCAAGTGTAAGTGTAGAACTATATGAAAAACAAGAGTAAATGTGGAATTTCATCAGATCTCAAAATTTCTTAAAAATGAAGGCATATTTTAATTTTTGTCTGCATGCAAACTAGCAAATGAATAGGTGAATGTTGTGGTAAACTTAGATTGATTTATGTTGGAAATGGACACAGAAATAAATTAAATTGAATATTGCTTTCTGTTGATATGGGCAATATATAGTGGCCATTAATATTTAATTGACGCAAATGCAACATTTATATGTCATTTGATTATTATAACTAGTTTCTTGCAATGCTGCTGCTTGTTGATTAGATATTAACAGTGAGGTAATAAATACTGCCCTTTGAGCTTGTTGATGTCATCTTTCCTGGGGTTAGGCTAGCTCAGTTTTCCAACTATGGACTTTCAAAGGTGATAGGAAAATGTATTAGATGAAAAAAAAAGATTAATACTTCATAAAAATATATCTCACTAGGTTTCATACTTTTATACTTAACACTGGAAGCTCTGTAATACATGATTTTTTTTTATTGTTGCCATCTTCAGTTTTTTCTGAATGTATTTTATATTGTTTTGTTTGTACTATAGATTTTGTTTGATGCTAAAGAAGCTTTCTAGATGCTAAATAATAATACCAATATTAAAACTAAAATATTAATCCTAGGAGCAGTGACTATTTAAATAGGTTGGCACATTGGATGATATGGCAGCTTACTTTGTGGCAAAGAGCATAAAAACCATAGGCTAACATCTAACTTTAAGTTCAATTCTACTCATGTATGTTACATTTGTCTCTGTAACTTGATATTTCTAATTCCTTCTCTTCTTGCTGCTAAATTAACAAAATGTTTCAGAACTTTAGTAAGTACATAGGAAAAAAAAGTTATGTGAATTATGGTTAATGGCACTGTTTATCTATTTTGCAAATAGATAATTATCCTTTGATCCCTTAGTTTATACATAAACTAAAGAGGAAGAATATTGACTTGTATAATCAAGATATAAAATAAAAAGTGAAATAATATGAAATGTTTTTGACAAGTCTAACTACACTCAAGCTTTGTTATATAGTAAATAGTAGATTACACAAAAATGATCATAAAATGTTGCTATTTCTTTTCATCTTTGAAGCTGCCTTGCAAAAGTCTTGTTCACAAGTATTACTGTCTAATTTAAATTGAAAATGATGCCATCAGTTTATCAGTTCAAGATCAAGCACCTACATCTATCAAATTCTGTTTTAAAAAGACACTTTATTAATGTATATTTTCTTTAGAAATAATTCTCATATTTGGTAATAAATAAATCCAAAAGTTTTTAGAGTAAATTGAATAATGATCACTTATTTTCAGCTTAGAATGTTAATATTTTTAGATTCTATAATGACTATATAGAAATATAATTCTGCTTAATGAAAAATTTAAAATGAAAGTAATTTTTTCTGCTTTTGTATTCTCTTTGATTAATTGGACTTTTAACTATATTTTTGTTCAAATGGGTGCACATATAAACACAGCCACTGGCTTTAAGACTTTAATATTTTATTGTCTTATTTTATCAGGTTTTTTTGCATTTTATACATTTGATCTATATAGCAATAGTACTTAGGCTTATATACCGCTTCACAATGCTTTACAGCCCTCTCTAAGTGGTTTACAGAGGCAGCGTATTGCCCCCAACAATGTGGGTCCTCGTTTTACCCACCTCAGAAGGATGGAAGGCTTGAGCCTGGGGAGTTTTGAACTGCCAAATTGCAAGCAATTGGCAATCAGCAGAAGTAACCTGCAGTAGTGCACTCTAACGACAGCACCACCGCGGCTCATATCATTTTATTATGTTTGCCAAACTTGCTAATATATTCTGATACTTTCCTATCCATGTAATAATTGTTGATGAAGCGTGAGTTAAAACCTGGAAGGTATAATATGTGAAATATATGAAATTAAAAAGTATACGAAAAAAAATTATATACTTATTCTGTTTTGAGAATTTGAGAAAAAAATCTGTCCATTACGGTGGGAAAAGTGCACTGCTTTCATTTTTCCATTCCCACATTTCTTTTTACTTATTGTTCATCCTGACTCTTTGCTATATATCATCATTTCACTATGAGTTTCTGTCAGTAACTTGAGTTCTTGCAACCTCTTGATTGTGTCAGCTGTGACATCTAGTGACCTTTTCCTTCTGTCAGCCTCTTTTTTACTTGATTTCAATTTTTCCAAGTAAGATCTCCAATTATTTTTGTCTTTGTATTATGTATCTAAATTATTTAAACTGTTGCTTCATTATTAAAACTTATTAGTTCTTCATTTTATTTAAGGCCATTAGAACTGTATTGCAAAAAATCTGGACTGATACTGGGAGGCAGGAAAAAATGCCAAAAAAAACCTAATACTCTGTGTAGCATTTATTTGTCCTGTTATTCAGTCAAGAGCGATAGGTTGTCCACTCCACACTCTGCTAGGATTTGTTTTGAATATGGTTTGAAAAACAAAACCCAGATCAGCCTAGTTCACATATGGCTAAGTGCCAAATCATGGTTTATAAAACACTGAGGCTGGGTTACCACATCATAATCAGTGAAACTAAACAAATCATGGTGTAGTTTTTAGTATGATACATAAATCCAGTTTTCCCGTACCTGTTTATTTTCCTCATGCAGTACTTTTTTATATAACATACAGAATAGCTTTTGGAGTTATAATAATATAAATATTTTCAGAAGGTTATTTCAACTATCTCTTGGTAATGAAATAAGCTGAATAACGTTCTTTCTTTCTTTTCTAGGATAGAAAGTTGCTACTTTATCTCAGGGAAATAATCTGGATTCTTTTTCACCAATGTAACGTATGAAAACAATGGGCAGATGATATCAGTTAAAACTGCTTTTGGCAGCTGACTATCAGACAGCAAGCAACTACGTAAGCAACTGCAATCCAACTGCAAGGATTTTTACAGTTCCATGCACTGGGAATTATGTGCAGTATCTAAGTACTCGGAGTAACTGCAGTTTCTATGTAAATCATTTTAGGATTTATAATAATGTCTGTTCATGCCACAGAGAGTGACATTCCTAGATTTTTTGTGGGCGGTGAAGATGGGGAAGAACTTTTGGATTGTTCCAGATCTTCCAATTTTGCCTCCTTCTATGATCAGGATGATGATGATGAAGAGTATGATTCTGTACGTACTGTGTTTATTTTATTTTATTATTTAAAACATTTATATGGCTGCCCATAGTTTAGACTGGGGTTATCTAGTGCTACAAGTAACTTAGTATCAGAATTTGGAAGACTTTTTGAAATTAAGATTTTTTTAAAAAAATGGATTATGTCACAGAAAAGTAAAATCTAGTATCTGAAATTAGTCTCTGATTCCTATAGTATCAAAACATGTTACTCATACTTTGCATAGAAAATAGTTTCTTTTGTGTTGCAAGTAGTTCAAAGATTTCCATTGGTGGAGTTGACTAGTGCAGCTGGCATCTAAATACAAACTTATGTAGCTACAATTCAACAATGCTGCTCACCATAACTATTATAACTCATTACAAGTCTCATTAAAGGGTGGTTCTGCAGATTGTGCTTTCTGTAATTTAATAACCTAATGCACTGAAAGATGTTTTCACTTTCAAATGGTAACTTCAAATTTATATAATGTTTTTTTTAAATCTTGTGAAATGGGCATAATAGTTTTTTCTTTATGCAAGAAGTAGTAAAACAATTTTTCTTTATACTAATTTTACTGTATACTTTATGCAAAATTAAGCACTGATTTCCAATTCATATTTTATTCTTAATACATGAACCTGATAATATAATAATGAGATTTGTTTATCAAACAAGGATAGAAACATTCCCTTAATTGATAACATAATTGATCTTAACAATTTTTTTTTTTAGCCACCAGAAAGACAGATCATGGTAGGAATATGTTCTATGGCAAAAAAATCAAAATCAAAACCAATGAATGAAATCCTTGAACGGCTTTCCATGTTTAAATACATCACAGTAGTGATATTTGAAGAAGATGTCGTTTTGAATGAACCTGTAGAAAACTGGCCTTTATGTGATTGTCTCATTTCTTTTCATTCTAAAGGTGATTGCTGTTTATTCAGTACAATGTAAAAATTTTCATGCTGTGAAACATTTTGTTACAATTTTATGAATATTTTTAATAATATTGAATAGTGTTATTGAAATCTGTTACATTGAACCATATTTAAAGAATAATGTATTTCAATTGTCTAGTGATATGTAAGAATAGATGTAGTCCAATGTTTCAATATAAATATATTACGGACTGATTAACATTATTACAATGATGTAAAGTATCATTGGTCCACTTTATACAACAGTTAAAAACATTTAATCTTGGAAATAATTTATGTCAAATTATGCTAATGCTAATTTTGGAAAGAAGTACATAGTGAATTGGAAACATGTATAACAAAACCTTTTGAGCCTTCCTTTAAATTGATTTAACTTAATATTTTTGCTATTCTCAATTTCCCCATTATTTTATTTTAAAAGAGTTGGAATTCTAATGAATGCTTAATCACACACGCTTTATCAAAAATGAGTCTAATTTAGTGAAATTTACTTGTAATGATTGTAATGTTATTTTATGACTTTAAAAAATTATGCTAAGAAAATACTAGATTGCTGGTTTACTGTTGTATTTGAATTGATAGTTAACTGATATAGGATACCTGATGTTTCAGTTGAACAAAATGGGGTAAACAAAATAAAGAGAAAAGCTTTTAAAATAGGATGGATGAAACTATAAAACTGTAATCCAGGTAATTTTATAGATGAAGGAATTTGAAATAATTTGTAAAACTTATCTAGAATAAATCAATTGTGAAATTCCAATTATAAGTTGTAATTCTTATGCATTTAAGAACTATTTAAAAACAAATATAGATTTTCTTTGCTACATTTTGTTTAGGATTTCCATTGGACAAAGCAGTTGCCTATTCTAAACTCAGGAATCCATTTGTTATTAATGATTTGAATATGCAGTATCATATACAAGACAGGTAAATAAACTCTTATCTCCTAGATGTAAATGCCTCTTTTGCTATTTTCCTTGCATTTTATTAACTGAAAACCTGCAAGTGTACCTCTAGCGTACCAGTATGATCAAAGTGGAATATTAGTTACTATATTTGCAAAGAACATCCTCCTATAAGCACATCTGAAAATGTTTAATTTTCAAGTTTACATTTTTCAAGGTGTGTATTTTGTCCGTGTTTGTTATGTTTTATTAACGTTGCTTATTTATTAAACTCTTTTTTCTCAAGGATTTTTAGTGTTTCTAAATGATTCCTCCTCTTTTTTTTCCCTTTTGATTGTACACATTCACATGAATGCCCTTCACAAGGCCATATCACTGTGTTATATTACTGTGTTATTCCTACTATCAGCATCAAGCTGTTACAGAGAACTGCAGATTTTCTAGAATGCAGAAATTATCTTCAGTGAGAATTTGACATCAGTAATGCTAACCTAAAGAAATAAGTGCTCAAATTCAATTGTACACTTATCTTCTAATCTGATTGTCCCACATCAAATTGCACAGTAAATTGGAAGAGGAGGCTTTCATTCTAATTCTCACCATCATGTTTTCTTTCTCTTGTGGAAATAGGCAAATGTACTGTAATACTTCAAAACTGAATTAGAAATATCTTGTGTCTAGGACTAGAAGTTCTACATTTTGCAATTATTAGTTCCAGCTTTTAATAGTGTAACTTTCTAATTTGTTGCAAGTTTACACAAAATTGTCTGGCTATCCTGTGATTTTAATTAGAAATTACTTTCATGTTTTTCCAATAATTGCAATGTTTTGTGGGATATATTATTTCTTTTCAGGAGAGAAGTTTATGGCATCCTTAAAGATGAAGGCATTTTACTTCCTCGTTATGCAGTCCTAAACCGGGATCCAAATAATCCCCAAGGTAATTATTATATTGGCATTTCAAAGGACTCATCTACAAACAGTTCTTGTCTGTTAATAAAATGTTATTTTTGTGTCTATAATCAACATATGAATTGAGAGTGGAAGATGACATGGATGGTCTTTGTTACAAGGTTAAAAAGGAAAAAAACTATGTAACTGATAGTATATAATAGTCTTTTTTAAACCTACTGAACCCAATGGAACTTCAAAATAAAGTTCTATAGGAATTTAGTTCATAAAAATATTTAATTTCATTTTCTTTTGCTAGACTTGCTAAACAAACTGTCATTTCAATACAATGGTTTCTTTATTTCAGAAAACTTTTAGAAGTAGATGCTTGTGTCAAAATGATTCATATTTTATGGGTATATTCTTTGATTCTTTTCCATAGACTAAATTTTCCTTTAGTTAGGAAAACTTGGTTCCGTTGCTCCTTTTATATCCTTCAGTGTTCAGTTTCCTGTAACACCTAGGATCAAATACAGAAAATATAATAAGCTTTGATGTTATTTGCTTTTTTTGTTGTTTTTAGGCACTTATTTATTTTGGCTCTCAATACTCTTAATGTTTTATTTGTTTGTTTATGTCTTCAGATAGCCTTCATTTCTGTTCTGGGGAAGAGGGACTCAGTTAAAATGTTACAGTTTCCCAAAAAACACTTTAAGGCAATGTAGCCACAATCAGGTGCATTTTATCCACAACACTCAACTGCATTATAGTCACAAGCCAACTGCATTTTATCAACAGCCTGTTCCTTACAAACAATGAAGCTGCAAATCATAAATGTATGTTTTGTTTTTAGGTTGTCATATCATTCAGTATTAGTGTTCTTTTTAAATGTAACAAGAGGGAAACCATGTCTTCCAGTTTTCCTTTTCTGGCTTGTGGCCAAAAAAGCTATTACTGTATTCAAACAATATAGCAATCTAAAAGTAGATAGTTATGTCCATGTTGCTAAAAAGAGAAATCGTTTGGTACACTAATTGTTGTCTAGATGTATTCTATGTAAAGTAAAAGTTTGGCAGTAAAAGCAATTTATACTGTTCTGTCTGCTCTTTTTAATATATTCTTTCTTATCTTACTTTTCTATTGCTCTTCCATTCCATTTACTACTAGGGATCATTTCTAGAGCTATTCATGCTTTCAGAATTGTTTGGAAAACATACTTTCATTTGCACAGCAAAAGTATTGTAGCATCTCTGTAATATAACGACATCTTTTTTTTCAGACATCTCTGAAATTCTGAAAAAAAAAAGAGAGATGGCTGATTTAGTGATTTACCGTATCATAGCATATGAAGAATCAGTTAAGCTTCAATAAATGCTTAACAAGTCCCATTACCATTTTCTTCCACAACCTCCCTGCTTTGCTTTTTTAAGCTCTTCCTGCAATCCTTCCGCAACTCATTCAAATACATGTAGAGATTATAGCCAGTTTTCTTGTCTTAATTTATAATGGATTTTTTAAAATCTGTGACTGAAACCTGAGGTCTGTATTTATTTATGGTTTTTTTTTCCAGAATGCAATTTGATTGAAGGAGAAGATCATGTGGAAGTGAATGGGGAAGTTTTCCAAAAGCCATTTGTGGAAAAACCAGTTAGTGCAGAGGACCACAATGTGTATATTTATTATCCAACATCTGCCGGTGGGGGAAGTCAGAGGCTCTTTCGGAAAGTAAGACTAATATATCTTACACAAGAATAGTTTGCCCGTTCTTTTAAATATTCTGTGATGATGGTAGTCATGATTGAATTGAAAAGAATGGTATTCCTTAAAAAAGGAAAGGGAAAAGAAATTAATTCAACAATTACATGATGAAAATGGGACACACACACACACACCCGAAATCATCCGGAGGTAAAGAAACACATTGTACAAAAATATAATGAAAATTTATACAGACGGGATCAAATAGAGAGGGATAAGATAGAACAATGTCTTAAGGGAAAAAAACCTGCCACAAATTTCAGAAGAAAACAAACAACTTTCAGATAAGGAAATAACACAGAATTAGAAAAAGCAATCAATAAACAGAAAAACAATAAAACGCCAGGTCCAGATGGGATTCCAGGAGATTTTTATAAAGCTTTATGGGAAACTATGCAACCACTTCTGTTAGAATTGTATAATGAAGCACTATTAAAAGCAAAACTACCCAAATCATGGGGAGAAACATACATATCACTGATACCAAAAGAAGGTACGGACCACTCTCAAATTCAGAACTACAGACCGATCTCATTGCTGGATGCTGACTATAAAATATTAATGACTATTATGGCAGAAAGATTGGAAATAGTTTTGAATGAAGTTATACATTCGGACCAAAATGGTTTTCTCCCAAAAAGACAAATTAGGAATAACACCAGGACAGTAATGAATATTTTGGAATACTATGAAGCGCATCCAGAGAAACCAGTAGCACTGGTTTTTCTGGATGCGCAGAAAGCATTTGACAATTTAAATTGGGGAATTTTTCTTATATCAAATGAAAGAGATGAAATTTGGACCAAACTTTGTAAAAATGATAAATATATTCAAGTCAGAAAGCCAGTGTAAAGGTAAATGGGGACTTTACGGAAATATTTTATATAGCTAAAGGAGTGAGACATGGCTGTCCAATCTCACCTCTGATATTTATACTTGCAATAGAAGTTTCATTAAATCAAATTAGAAATAAAAAAGAAATTACAGCACTAAGATAAAAGAGGAAGAGTATAAAACAAGCATTTGCTGATGACACGGTATTTTTTGTAGAAAATCCGAACGAGGTTGGGAAAATATTGTTAAACGAAATAGATCAATATGGTAGAGTAGCGAGTCTTAAAATCAATAAAAACAAAACTAAAATGTTAGTTAAAAAATCTTTTAGAATATAT